AGTGAATAAGTGGGAAAAGATGGGTCTGAAACTCTGATTATCTGCCTGCCTTTGGAGTTGCTTTTTCTAGTTGTTTCAAAGATGAAATGAGTAACTATATGTAAAGTCTTTGAATATGCCTGCCACATAATAAGTAATCTGTTGCATTTGCTATAAATATTAGGTATAATCTCAGAATTTATTATTTTTTATGGAGAACTTCTATGGAAATCTCAATCAGCTTGAAGAATAACTTCATAATAAAATCTACTGTCTGCTCTTGTTAAAGCTTATACTATTTTATACTATTTTTGTGTCTGTTATAACTGGATGTTCCTAAGATTTTGTTTGCAGCATTTGAAAGCCATAGTTATTACCGGCCAAGAAGTGTACTTTCCGATTAGAGGAAAGATCTCTGTGTTGTTAACAGATGTCCTGTGCCATTGTGGAGAGTGAGATGGGTTATTGTTTTGACATAAACTGGAGGCATTTTCACCTCTGTTTGTACCAGGTGGTGGGAAGGCTAGCCATGGGGCGCTGGTATTTTTCCCAGATCCTCTCCTGCAGGATTTAAAGGCAGTCTTTGACTCCTCACTCCTTCTAGCGGAATAGTCATCAACATTTCCCCAAAGCCATGAGGGCAGGTGAACTTACTGCCAGCCCATAAACTTAGTAGCGGCTCTTGCCTCAGTTTCGATAATTCAGCCGGAAGGAGTTCTTCTCCGGAAGGAGAGTGGTTTGCAGTTTGTTAGTTTTATTTCCCATTCCTCCCTCCTTAGAGATGAGGAGAGCAGCCTCGCGTAAGCTGCCTCACAGCCTTTCCTATGGCCTCCATCAGAAAACCCCACATAAGTCACTGAATAGAGAAAAGGTTTCACATCTTTGAGTCCTTTTTATTTCTAACAACAAGAAGTACGTTTTAATGGCGACTTTTCCACGTAGAAATGTAGGATGTTATTATTCCAACAAAACAGTCCGTGGGGGGACTCTGCGCCCCCACCCAGCCCCTCGATTCTCTTTGAGTAGGTGTGAGGTTTTCTAAAGTTTGAGGCCATCCTAAGAACTAGGACTGTCCCCTCCATTATTATGGGTTTCATTTCTTCTTCATGTACCACCGCTATCCTCTTGTGATTATTGCTGTCATGTGGCTCCTTTTTTAAGGACCAGCGGTGTGCTGAGTTCTGCGCCTCCCACCCAGAAGGGTTGTGTGGAGCCTGAGAAAATCAAATTTAAGGACAAAGCCTTACGGTGGCCCGAACTCTGATGTCACTTTTCAAACTAACTTTGCACGCAGTCATACCTAGGCTTTAAACCTGACCCCACCCCAGCAGGCTGCACGACCTTGCACTGGGCACTGAGCCTCTCTGAGCTTTGATTTACTTTCTCTCCATGGTATCGGCACCAGCCTCAGTGGGACATTTGATGACTGACTAGGATGCCACGGGAGCTTCAGACAGGCATGGTGTGTGGGGAGCGCGGGTTAGTGGGAGCTATTCATTGCCCTACTATTGCTACAAATGCAGATTTTTCACAAAAAAGAATCTCATCACGTTGGTACCTCTAAGACACCTGATTCCATGATGAAGACTTCCCTCTAAGCACCCACATACCTGAAAACCCCATGTCAAGCTGGAATCAACACAGTGTGTGAGGAGGCTCCCAAGCTCTCCAGGCTCTAGGAGACGCCCCCCCCCCCCCCCAGAGTTACGGAGCATCCAGAGAGCACTGCGCAGGGTGGGTGGGGTACAAGGGGATTTCAGGAGTGGACGAAGAGGGAATAGAAAGCTGGGGCCTTAGGTGTCAGCTGAGAGGGGGAAAGAATAAATAAAGAAAAATAAAGCTGGGGTCTCATTGAACTGGCTCACGTCAGCAGGTGCTGGAAGCAGTGCCACATCCTGACCTGATCACACTGCTAGACTGACCTGAAGAGCCCAGTTAAAGAAGTTGTCTCCAACTGTGGTCATGAACCATGTCGTCCACAGGCACTGAGACCTCCAGCCTGTGCTGGTGATGGCAAAGAGCCAACAGGAAACACTGGTGGTCTGAAAAGGCACAGGTTTCATCGGACTTGAGCAGCTTTGGAAAGGGGATGCCATGTGAGGTGGAGGGCATGGGAGATTTAGGCCTAGGTCGTGCTAGAGCTTGGCACCTATTTCTGTAACACACCTATTTCTGGGAGCCACGAAGTGGGGAGCTGCTGATCACGGAAGCCATAGAAGATGGGGTTGTGCTATCTGGTGTGTTGAAGTCACAGCAGCGGCCAGGACACCCTCCTTTTTAGGAATTCTTACATGCTTTTTCAAGATGTAACTCTTGCCACAAAGCCTTTCCAGCTTTGCTCTGCTCCTCTCTGGAACTCTGTAGATCCAGCACTTCGATGTTTTTAGTTGGTTTTCTTAAATTGATGTTTTAAATGTAATTAATTAATTTATTTTTAGAGACAGGATATCAGTCTTTAGCCTAGGCTGGAGGAAAATGGGTGTGGACTGCGATGATTCTAGCTCACTGCAGCCTCGAACTCCTGGGCTCCAGCAATCTTCCCTTCTCAGTCTCTCGAGTAGCTGCAGACATGCACCACCACATCTGGCTTTTTCATTTTTTGTAAAGATAAGGTCTTGCTAGGTTACTCAGGCTGGTCTTGAATTCCTGGGTTCAAGTGATCTTCCTGCCTTGGCCTCCCAAAGTGCTGGGATTACAGGCGTGAGCTATTGCTTTTAGTCTTAATCACTTGAACATTTAAATGTTATTTTTAAATTCTTATAACTGTGTGTGTGTGTGTGTGTGGTGTGGGTGTATCTGTGTGTCTGTGTAGTGTGTCTTTGTATTTTGTATATGTGTGTAGCTGTGTTGTGTATGTGTTGTGTGTGTGTGTCGTGTGGTGTATCTGTGTTATATATATCTGTGTTGTGTCTGTGTTGTCTGTGTGTGCCTGTGTGTGTAGCTGTGTGGTATATGTGTGTGTGGTATGTGTGTGTCAGTGTGTGGGTGTATCTGTGTTATGTATGTGTTGGGTGTGTGTTGGGTGTGTCTGAATGTGTATCTGTGTTGTGTATGTTGTGTGTCTGTGTTGTCTGTGCATGTCTGGGTGTGTCTGTGAGTATGTGTTGTGTGTGTGTTGTGGGTGTGGGTGTATATGTGTACATGCAGCTCCTCTACCTGCTCCTTCCCTTTCCTAAATATCTTTTAAATCCACCCAGCAAGCATCATCCTAGTCAGGCCTGTTTCTCCCTTCCCTGGACCAGACTCCTGCCCCTGCCTGCTGCCCCATGCCCTCCAGTTCTCCCCACTGTGATGGGAGCGGTCACTGCACAGTGCCATTCTCATCATGTTTTAGCCTTCAGGCCCTTCAGAGGCTGCCGGGACCTTACATGCACCTCCCGAGTCTGGCCTCCACTCCCCAGTGTGTGCTCTTCCCCTACCCGCTCCTTAGCCTCCAGGTGCTATGCCTCCTGCCTCACACCCAGGCCTTCCCCATGCGGGACCCTGGGGGAACTCACCTCCCCTGCATGTGGCTGCCACCTCCTCCCTTCTGGCTTCTGGAGCTCCTTGTCCTTCCCTGCCTTGCTGCCCTGTTATAACTGGCTTTTTGTTGCTGCTGCTGCTGTTTCTGTCTCCCTCCTCCATGAAGGCTTACCTTCTGTGAGGACAGGAGCTAGGTTTGGCTGCTGCACCCCCGTATCTCTAGGCTCTGGCCCACACAGTGCCTGCCTGGCACCCGGCAGAAAACAGTCAGTAGAATGAAGAATGAGTGAATAAACAAATGAATGGACTCCCATAAGAAAGACTAAATTAGATAATATACAGAAAGCATCTACAGTGTGTCTGGGACATAGTTGGCCCTCAATACATGGTTGATTGCTTCATTGATTCACTCACTCATCAGTTTATTAAGTGCCTGGCTAATATCCTTGGGGATACAGCAGCTGACAAAACAGATAAAAACCTCTCTGCCCTATGGGCCCTGCCTTCCGGTATAATGTAGTAAGTGCAGCTGTGGATGCATGTGGGGAGGTGTGTGGTTTCCTCTCTCTCTCTCTCTCAGCCTTCCCTCATATCCCTCCCCGCAGGGCCCTGTCCTCTCTCTTCCCTCCCCACCTGGGACAAGGGTCACCAAGCTGGAGCCACTCTTGCCAGCAACGCCTTGGCAAAGGAGAGGCCCAGGGGTCTTGGGTAAACTCTAGCCACTCCTCAAGCTGCTGAAAGTGGAATCACTTCCTCTGCCCTGGCTGGAATAAATAGGTCAGGAGTAAAATTAGAAAATCAAAAGCCCAAATCCCAGTGATGTGCTGAAGCCCAAGTGCCGCCGTAGGCCCCGGCGCTGCGCAGCTTCTTACGCTGCAGAGCACTGGAGCTCACAGACCAGGGCGCCTGCGGGGTGTGGGCAGAGCCGGGCCCACACCTTTCCCAGCCTCCATGAGGAGCAACCTCTGCAAAGCCAAAGCTATTGCTCCTGCCTCCGAGGAAGAAGAGACTAAGGCCAAGCTATGGCCAAGCAAGCCGGCCACCCCAAACCCCTGCTCCTCCAGAGCAGCCCCCCTCCACCAGAGGCATACTCCTACCCCTTCAGGTCAGGGCTCAGGATTGCGAGGGGAAGGGCCTTGCCTCCAGAATGACAGAACCCTGAAGACAGTGCCTCTCAAGGGCCAGCTCCCCTGATATTCACACACTGGGGAATATTGGCCTGAGCCCTGACTGCCTCCCAGGCAGGGTCCATGTCTCAGCTGGGATAGTTCTCATCATATCCTAACCTCTGTTGGGGTCCCTAGCAGGAAACTGTCAGCCAAACTGACATTAGCCAACCAGGACGCATTGTGTGATTTGCTCTCCCCATTGGTAATTCACATTTTCTTGGGAGCCGTTTGATAGCTGAAATATTTTAAAGCCCAGAGCTCTCAGGCCGTGGGACTGGTTGGCAGTGGTGGGTGGGCTCCCTGCCCACCACAGCACCACCTGGAAAATCCCACCGCCTTTGCTTGTGCATGGAACTGTGGGATTATAAAATCATCTTATTTTCATTGCAGAAATTTCCAGAATTGAAATTCAAATATGTGGAAGAGGAGCAGCCTGAGGAGTTTTTTATCCCTTATGTCTGGTCTCTTGTCTACAACTCAGCAGTCGGCTTGTACTGGAACCCTCAGGCCATCCAGCTGTTCACCATGGATTCCGACTGAGGGCAGGACGCTCTCCCACCTGACCCCTCCAGCCAAGCAGCCCTTCACGTCAGTTCGTTTCTGGGTAACAGGAGCAGACAGATTGCCTGCAGTATCTTCTGTTAAAGAGGATTGCACAAGTGTGTTTTCCTCACACACGTTGATTTGGAGAACTGGTGCCAGTTGGCAGTAGATCACTCAGCATAGACAGTAGTGCAAAAAGGGGAGGAAATACACAATAATAAATGTACAAACCTGCTATTCAACATGCAGCTTTATTTCTAAGCCAAAAATCTAGAGCTCTGCCAAGATCCTGATGCCTTAGGCACATCACACTTCAGCAGTGCACACTAGTCAACAGTGTACACGATTTTTTTTGCATGTTCAAGATAGTTGTTTTGGTCTTGTATGTTTGTGTGTGTGTGAGAGAGAGAGATTCCTTTAACATTAAGGAGCATCAGTGAGAAAAGATGATGAGGCAGGAATTAATAAAGAAATGAAGTCGTGTGTGTGTGTGTGGTTGCCTCTCAGTGGGCCCATAATTTCATAAACGTCATGCCTGGACAATTTGATATTCATCTTTAACACCCCTACATCTTTTCATTAAAGGAATATGGGCTGAGTGCAGCGGCTCACATTTGTCATCCTAGCACTTTGGGAGGCCAAGTTAGCAGAATCGCTTGAGGCCAGGAATCTCAGACCGATGTGGGCAACATAGTGAGATCCCATCTCTACAAAAAAAATTAAAAATTAGCCAGGCACGGTGGCATATTCCTGTAGTCCTAGCTACTCAGGAGGTTATGGTGGAGGATTGCCTGAGCCCAGGAGTAAGGCTGCAGTGAGCTAAGAAGGAGCCACTGTAACTCCAGCCTGAGCCACAGAGTGAGACCCTGTCTCTAAGGAACAACAAAAAAGAAAGAAAGAAAGTGGCTACTTCTCATGAAGCCCAGATTAAAGTTTCTGTGAAGATGGTCTGTGAACTGTTGTTGGAATGAAATTGGAGTCTAGCACAAATTAAGTTAATCTACTCTGTATTCATCATTGGGCAAAAGAAAATCTTTATTTGCAAATAGTCTTTTTCCTTCACCCACACTAATAGAAAAAGGAGACTAGTTTGTTCCTACTGGATTCCACTTGGGATGAAAAGCATGTTTTCTTCTTTGTTTCCGATTTTTTAAAAATGCTTCTGGGCCAGTGCGATCCATGTGTTGGTGCCTAGGCTGGAGGAAGGAGTTTCTTGGAGGGAAACAGCCACTGGGGCTCCGCGGAGGGCCAGGTGGGACCTTCCTTCCCAGTCACACTCTGTGTCCTTGCAGTCCCCTTCACAGTCTAGATGAGTAGCCTAGCTTCATTCTCAAAGACAGAAAAAGTATTTGCTTTTCAACATAGAAAGTGCATAACCCCAGATGAGACTGAGCATGTGGTTCCAATCCACTACAGCTCATCTGCTTCAGGCCTGCCTTCTCCTGTCCCGTGTCCCAGGGCTGCAGGCCCGAGTCATTCGGGTCCATCACATCTTCTGAAGGCCTAGGAGGAGCCATCCTCAGTCACCCCAAGCTCTGTAAAAGGTCGAAACACTGCCAGCACCTCAGTGCACCACTGTGTGGGCTCCACATGGGAAAGGCCCGACCAAGCCTTGCCCTCAGAGGCTATTGAGATAGTGCAGGCAGCCTCCCTATCCTCATTTGGATGGAATGAAACAGAAGCTCAATAAGGCCAAGGGACTCATGGAGGGCCCATCCCTGGTAGGGTCCCGGAGCTGAGTGCAGCTTGCCCCCCACCCCCAGACCCTGAGGGGCTTGTTCAGTCAGGCCTCCTCCTGTCACTGCTGGAGTGGGGACTCTGACTCCTGTGTTTACCTCAGAGTGCACGTACAGGACATCCAGTCTAGAGGTGAGGCTTGGTGACAGCTTCTACTGATACTTAGAATTGTGGGAGAGCAAGTCTGGAGGAGGAGGAGGAGGAGCAGCAGCGCTCTCAGCCAGCAGGGGGAGTGATGATTATCATTTCAGGTAGCAAGGATACATATTTCCTACCTGGGGAAAGGATTTGCAACTTTGTTTCCAGAGCATTTTGATTGGCTTCTTTTTCCTTTAAACCAAAAAATGTTTTAAATGTTTAAGGGTCATGTGAAGCAGCTGAGCTTCTGGCAAGACCGCAGAACTGTCCTCTGAGTCTGAGGGCTGGGCAGTGCCACAGGACAGTCCCTGGGCTCAGGACTGTCAGCTCTTGTCATGGGAGGAAATGAGGCCCCTCAAAAACCCAGTCACTTGACAGAGGGCACACTCCCAAGGAAGCCCTGACTGGGGAATCATACAGCCTCTCATCCAGGCCTCCCAGCTCACTGAGGTGTCCCCAGACTCCTGATCGCCCTCCTCTCTTTCTCTCTTCTCATTCATCACACAATAGAAGTACCCACTGACTAAAAGCTCAGCTGGGGCAGCAGCCTCCAAGGAGGCCTGCAAGTGATGCTCCCAACCCTGGTTCCTGCCCCACCACATGCATCACTGCCACAGCTCTGCACAGCCACCAGAGGTTTCTTATTTTTGTGAAAGATTTATTATATGGCAATAAATCTGAATGATAAACTTTCATTATACTTGCATTGATTTTGAGTATTTGCTTAGAAATTTTTACACGAAGTAAATATATGTAAGATGCAACACAGGATCATCATGTGTTCAGATGGAAATTAACATCTGATTTTACCCAAGATCTGAAGCTGTTACTGCATTGTGTCATTTTAACAACAAAGATTTCTGCCACATATTTAATTTTAAAAGAGTGTCCCTTTCAATAGCATCTTCCCTATCAAGAGTTCAAGGCACTTTGCAGAATAGCTTCAGAATTCTAACTCTAGTTCCCACAGTCCCGCATTGAGGGTGGTGTCATACAATCTATGAACAACAACCTTGCAACAGGACTGCCACCATTCAACAGTGCAGACAACACAGCTCAAGGACAAAGACAGAGAAAGGGAAGAAGAGAAGGTCCTGAAGGTGAGGCACAGAAAGTACACTGCACACAGTCCTCACTGGAAGGAAATCACAGGGGCTGGGAAGTAGACAGTGGAAAGAGGAATGGACACAGGACCAGCACCAGAACACTCAGCAACTTCCTAAGAGCTTGCTAAGTTACATCCAAGAGAAATATTTAGTCGGGGAAACTTTTAAATGCTAAATAAACTTCTTAATATATCATACTTTAAGCAACATTTTATCCTTTAGATTCTGAGGAGCCAGGGTTTTGCATTGGGTGGTATAGCTTTCTGCATAACTGAGTTACCCTGTGCTACTTTGGAGAGACATTAAGTTAGAGTTTCAGCACTCGCTATACTTCAGAGGCTTGAGTCTCCTAATTCTCTCCTAGGCACTACGCCTGCAATATCAGTAGTTGCCACTTGATTTTAGGGACTGATCTGTGCGCCTTCTGACTCCAGATTCACAACTATTCCAGCGTCCTGCATCACCTCCTGGAGTCAAAGAGGTCAGAGTCTCTATTCAGTGATGAAGAGCCAAGCTAACTACGCATATGAAGAGCTAAGGAGTAGATTATAGCTCATGATCCACAGCAAATAATGCATATTTATTTTGTAAGAATTCTATTAAAACATTAATCTCATTAGGGTATAGGTATCAGGGTTCCCACCCAAAGCAAGGGAGATTCACCAGCAGCCCCTAGCCCCTTGGTCAGGTCATACTCTGACCCCTAATCTGACTTCACAAGGCTATCCCAATGCCAGCTACTCAGACACAGCCTCTGGCCTTAGCAAAAACCCTGGAGGAAAAGCAACCCCACAGAGCTGAGCAGGTAATACTTCACTGTCTTGTTGGCTCTGGGATCCTTCAAGCAAATTTTTTAAATATTTTGACCAGATTTCCAAGTTGTCCTTGGCTGGAGGGTTGATCCTTCATTATTATCATTAGACTATCCCTCATGGGCTCTGCAATTCAACTTCTAAACCACCTCAGTACCTGAATGTGATCCAAGGTGAAACTAGATTACTAATGCCTTCAGGTGCCCAGCTGAAGCAAATGCAAATTCTGTGGAGAAAGTGAACATAACCCAAGGTCTCAAATTATTTCTGCTGTGTCGCCCCCAGAAATACCCAGGTATGAGAGAAGACCAGACAACATTAATTACTTGAATTAAAACCATTAGGGGAAAACACAGACAACTAATGTAGATATATTTAAGTAAACTTTAAGGCAATAATTTTTTTAAGAAACAAAAGGGTCAATTCAATTACTAGGAAGATAATCTAAATTTATGTGTACTTAAAATATAACCTCAAAATATGTAAAAGACAGTTTGATAGGAAATTTAGGCAAATATGTAACCAGAGTGATATTTTAACATGCCTATTTTGTTAATTGGTAGAAAAACTAGCATACAAAAATCAAGTTCTAAAAGATTTAGCAATGAAATGAGCAACCCAAATGGATGTATGTAGAACACCAAACTCAATAACGTACTTTTCAAACACAAATGGCACACACTATAAAATACTGAGCTATAAAAATTTCAACAGGCTAGATGCAGTGGCTCACATCTGTAATACCAGCACTTTGAGAGGCCAAGGCAGGAGGATCACTTGAACCCAGGAGTCTGAGACCAGCTTAGGCAACATAGTGAGACTCCATATCTACAAAAAATCCAAAAATTAGCCGGGCATGGTGGCATGTGCCTGTAGCCCCAGCTACTTGAGAGGCTGAGGCCGGAGAATCACTTGTGCCCAGGAGGTTGAGGCTGCAGTCAGCTATAATCGCACTACTGTGCTCTAGCTTGGGTGACAGAGCAAGACCCTGTCTCTGAAAAACAAAAACGTCTCAACAAACTTGAAAATACTTCAAATGAAACATGTTCTCTGACCATAAAGGAATCAAGACAAATTATTTACAAAAAGATAATTTTATAATCCTCATATTTTTGGAAATTAGATTTCCAAGTAACCCATCTATCCAAAAAATCATAATAGAAATTTGAAATATTTTAAACTGATCATGAAAATACTACATATCAAAACTAACGGAGAAAAAGTTTGTGGGATACAACTAAAACTATGCTTAGGAAGATGTGTTTTATTTTAAAATTAGAGGGTACGTGTTCAGGTTTGTTATGAGAGTATATTGTGTGATGCTGAGCTATGGGCTTCTAATGATCCTGTCACCCCAATAGTGAATATAACCAATGGAAAGTTTTTCAGCACTTGCTTCCCTCTCTCCTTCCCTTCCTCCCTCCTTTTGGAGTCCCTAGTGTCTATTGTTCCCAAAATATATATATCTTTAAATGCTTATGTTAGAAGAAAGGTTAAAAATCAATTAAGCAACTACCTCGAAATCAAATGAAACCTAAAAACAAGCCAAAACTACAGATACAGAACACAAATATACAATACAGGGAATCAAAGTTAAAAGCTGGTTATTTAAAAGGATTAAGAGGATTCATCGGCTGGGTGCGGTGGCTCACACCTGTAATCCCAGCACTTTGGGAGGCCAAGGCAAGTGGATCACCTGAGGTCAGGAGTTTGAGACCAGCCTGACTAACATGGTGAAACCTCATCTCTACTAAAAATACAAAAATTAGCTGGGCTTGGTGGTGGGCACCTGTAGTCCCAGCTACGCAGGAGGCTAAGGCAGGAGAATTGCTTGAACTTGGGAGGTGGAGATTTCAGTAAGCCAAGATTGCACCACTGCACTCCAGCCTGGGTGACAGAGTGAGACTCCATCTCAAAATAAATAAATAAAAGGATTCATAACCCCTTAAAATACTGATCAAAGAAGAAAGGAGAAAAGGCAGGAGAGAGGAATAACCAGTATCAGAAAGGACAACAGGCAAGTTACTTCAGATTATGCAGACATTTAAAATATTTAAGAGCCAGCCTGGCCAACATGGTGAAACCCTCCTGTCTCTACACACACACACACACACACACAAATTAGCTGAGCCTGATGGTGTGCGCCTATAGTCCCAGCTATCGGAGAGAGTAAGGTAGGAGGATTACCTGAGCCCAGGAGGTAGAAGCTGCAGTGAATTGTGGTCATGGCACCACATTCCAGCCTGGGCAACAGAGTGAGAGACCCTGTCTCAAAAAAATTTTTTCTTAAATATATATATCTATATATACACACATATTTTATAGACTATAATGAATACCAATAAATTTTAAATCTAGATGAAATATTTATTGCAGTGATAGGTGTATACATATATCTAATCAAATTGTACACTTTATTACATATGTGCAGTTTTTATATATTAAGTATGCCTTATTAAAGTTGCTTTTAGATTTTGCATAAAATGAACAAATTCTTTAAAAAAAAAAAAAAATAAAGCTCTCCAAAACTGACACGAAAAGATCCTGAACATTGGAATCATTCTATATCTAGTGCATAAACTAAGTCCATAATTACAATCTGCCACAGAAAATTTACAGACCAAAATGGATTCAGTAGTGAATTTAACCAAACATTTAAGAGCAAAATAGCCCTTTTGCGGCCATGACCTGAGCGGGAGCTGCCAAAATGAAGTTCAATCCTTTTGTGACTTCCGACTGAAGCAAAAATCGCAAAAGGCATTTCAACGCACCTTCCCACATTCGGAAGATTATGTCCTCCCCCCTTTCCAAAGAGCTGAGACAGAAGTACAACGTGTGATCCATGCCCATCCGAAAGGATGATGAAGTTCTGGTTGTACGAGGACACTATAAAGGTCGGCAGTTTGGCAAAGTAGTCCAGGTTTGCAGGAAGAAATATGTAATCTACATTGAACGGGTGCAGCGGGAAAAGGCTACTGGCACAACTGTCCATGTAGGCATTCACCCCAGCAAGGTGGTTATCACTAGGCTAAAACTGGACAAAGACCGCAAAAGGATCCTTGAACGGAAAGCCGAGTCTCGCCATGTAGGAAAGGAAAAGGGCAAATACAAGGAAGAAACAATTGAGAAGATGCAGGAATAAAGTAATCTTATATACAAGCTTTGATTAAAACTTGAAATGAGGGGGAAAAAAAAGAGCAAAATAATGCCAATTTTAGACAGACTCTCCCAGAGAATAGAAAACCTTCTATTTGTTTTCTGAAACCAGCTTAACCCTACATATAAAAAATCTGCCAAGAACAATACAAGAATTACAGGCTAGTCCTCATGGTATAGATGCAAAAGGTCTAAACAAAATGTTAGCAAATAAAAACCAGCAATCTGCAAAAACAATGTGTAAAAATACATCATGATCAGATTTGTCATTCACAAATCAATCAGAGTTATTCACATAATTCAGAAGGAAAAGTAATGCAGGTAAAAAATGTGATAAAATTCAGCAGTCTTGGGTGATCGAAATGTTTAGCAAACTAGGAAAAAAGGAAGCTATCTTAATCTTATAAACATTTAAATGCTACAGTAAACACATCATACTTAAAATATTAAAATCTTTCATTCCGAGATCAGAAGCAAAAAGAATGTCTGTCATCACTTCTATTCAAATGTCGCTAGGTAATACTATATGTGCCTAAGTATTTAGCGAGGAGTGTACTGGTACCTTAAATTACTTTAAAATGCATTATGAAAAGGGGAAAAAGGATGGCTTGATGGATAGATAGATAGGTGATAAAAACAGATATAGTAAACATGGTAAAATCTAGAATGGTAGAATCTAGATGGTGGCTCTAACAAATATACACTGTATAATATTCAATTTTGCTATACATTGAGGAAACTATCACCTGAGTTCCTAGCCTAATACAACAAGATTTTCTTTATAATTAATTGGGTAGGGTCAGACAAAAATGAACTATCATTATTTGTAAATGACATGATTGAGGATATAGATAATTTAAAAGAATCAGACAATAAACCTAGTAAAATTAAAAAGGTTTCTAGATACAAGGTCATGACAAAAATCACTTGTGTTTCTGATGCTAGCAAGAAATGATTCGAAAATGAAATTTTAAAAGCGAACCATTTACAATAACATTTTTTAAAACATTAAATATACAGAAATCGATCTAAAAAAATGTGACTGAAACTAAAGATCTAAATAAGGTTTCCCTAAATAAGAGACCATTCCAGGGTCATTAGATTCATGAGTTGGAAGGCTCAACATTATAGTTGGTTCCCTCAGAACTGATCTATGGATTCAGTGCAATATCAATCCAAAGTCCAGTTCTTTGGAGGAATAAGGAAACTTGACAAATTGATTCTAAAGTCTACATGGACATACGAAATGCCTAGAATTGCACAGAAAATCCCGAAAAAGAATAAAGCTCATACTTACATGGCGAGATGTCTACAACTTACAGATGTGCTCTGACCTATAGGCCAGGTGTGGTGGCTCAAACCTGTAATCCAAGCACTTGAGAGGCTAAGGGAGGAGGATTACTTGAGACCAGTCTAGGCAACATGGTGAAACCCTGTCTCTACAAAAAAATTTTTAAATTAGCCAGGTCTGAGGCTGGGCATGGTGGCTCATGCCTGTAATCCCAGCATTTTGGAAGGCGGAGGCGAGTGGATCACTTGAGGTCAAGAGTTCAAGACCAGCCTGGCCAACATGGAAAAACCCTGTCTCTACTAAAAGTGCATTAAAATTAGCCAAGCGTGGTGGCAAATGCCTGTAATCCCAGCTACTCAGAAGGTTGAGGCAGGAGGATCACTTGAACCTGGGAGGTGGAGGTTGCAGTGAGCCAAGATAGTGCCATTGCACTCCAGCCTGGGTGACAGAGCAAGACTCTGTCTCAAAAAAAAAAAATTGCCAGGTGTGGTGGTATACACCTGTTGTCCCAGCAACTGGAGAGGCTGAGGCAGGAGGATTGCTTGAGCCCAGAGGCAGAGGTTGCAGTGAGCCGAGGTCATACCACTGGACTCCAACCTAAGTGACAGAGCAAAACCCTGTCTAAAAACAAAGACTTACAGATTTACTCTAAGTTTAATATTGTTACAAGAGTAGACAAACTATGTCGATGAAATAGAACTTAAAAGGTCCACATATGTAAGGACAGTTGATTTGACTGCTGTATAATGGGGAAATGGTTTTTTTCCCAATAAATGGTGTGGGCACAGCGAAGGGAAAATGAATCTTGACCTCTACCTCACTCTCTCTACAAAATCAATTCCCAGGGGCTACAGAGCTAAATGTGAAAGGTTAAACCATAGTATTTTAGAATAAAGCATAGGAGACTATCTTCATGTCCTTAAGATAGACAACAAAAAATGCTAACCATAAAGGAAAGGTCAGATAAATCAGATTAGAGTCAAGTTAGGAACTTCTGTTTAACAGGAGACATCAATAAGAGAGTGAAAAGGTAAGCTACAGAGTGAAAGCAGGTCTTTGTAATGTATAGAACCACAAAGGGGTCAAATAAAGACAATATAAAGAATTCAATAAGGAAAAATAAAATTGGCACAAGACAAGCATTTCTGAAAATTTTTCAGTTCACCAATAACATGGAAAAGGACTGAAATCAAGGAAAAATGCAAACTGAACCCACAATGAGGTACCCGATACCCATTGCACAGTCACCAGAATGGCTAAATTAAAAAGGTCAACAAGATACTACTTAGCCCAGCGCCTAGTGGCTAGGCTGATTCTCTCCTTTCCAATCGGACTGGCTAAATTAAAAAGGTCAACAAGATACTACTTAGCCCAGCGCCTAGTGGCTAGGCTGATTCTCTCCTTTCCAATCGGAGGCCTCTGCAATAAACATGCTCCAGATCACCAAGAAGCACCCGTGCTTGCTCCTCCTCCTTGTATTTATTGGAGCTGGAGGTATTGGAGCAGCACTGTATCTCTTGCATCTGGCATTGTTCAATCCAGATGTTAGTTGGGAAAGAAAGTATAACCCAAAGCCCTAGAACAAAGTAGGTGCCAGTGATCAAACAAGTTCTACCCAGTGAATGTGGATTACGGCAAACTGAAGAAAGAAGGTCCAGATTTCGAAATGAAATGTTTCACGATAAAGCTGCTTTAGAATGAAGGTCTTCCAGAAGCCATCGCACAGTTTTCCACTTAACCAGGAAATATTTCTCCTCTAAATGCATGAAATTGTGTTGATGTCATCTGTTGGAGATTACACTAATTAATAAATAACCGAAACAAAAAAAAAAAGGTCAACAACATCAAGTGTTGGTGAGGATGTGGAACAACAGGAAATCTCATACCCTATATGTATTCCATGTAGAAATATAAATTGATAGCACTTTGAAAAACTGTTTAGTAATATCCACCAAAGTTGAAGATGCTCATGCCCTAAGACCTAGCAACAGGTTAAATCAAGACTGTTGATGGTGCAATTATTCCTAATACCTCAAAACTAGAAACACCAGGAATATCCACAGTAGAATGTGTAAATAAATGGCAATATATCTATGCAATGTAATGCTATACAGCCGTGAAAAATAACCAGCTACATTCAGTTACACAGGTGAAACTCAAATGTTACAGCATCCAAGAAGACTGATAAAAAAGAACACATACTGTATGAGCTCATTCACATAGAGAAAAGGCCAAAATAAACCTAGTTGTGGGATGTACACTTAAGTAGTAAAACTTTGATGAAGGACAAGGGCAGGCCTAGCCTGAAAACCAGAATATGGGTTACTTTTGGGAAAACAGAAGCAACCATGATTGGGAGGGGCACAGGATGGACGAGAAGCTGGCAGTGTTCTGTTTCCTCAGGGCCAGTGGTCACAGAAGTGTTTCATTGGCAATAAATCAGCGAACTGTTCATTTTCATCTTGTGTATTTTCTGTATGTTTATTAGATCTTACAAGTAAAACTTAAAGGTAATCTCAAGTTAATTTGCATTTTAAACAAGACTGATAGAAATTTCCCTCAGAATAAGTTGCTCACCTCTCATGTCTCCTCACCCGCTAAGTTCTAGGTGGGTCTTGCTAGAGGAACAATATTGTAACTAGTCCTAAAACGCTGAATGAGACAGAAGATTTGGCTTCTGGGAGGTTGAGTTGATTGTTTTTCTTAAGTTCTCAAGATTTCTTCTTGGATATTTGATTACTGTTAAATGAATTTCTACTGACTGATGCATGGAACCCAATGAAACAGCTGTTCATTGAAATGAATGCCAAAATCGCCTCTCCCCACAGAAAGACAGTAGGCGCCAGTAAGCCCTGGCGGGCCCAGTCTCTACTCCCAGCCCCTTTCCCCCACCCAGTGCTATCAGCCCAGCACCTGAGCCTGAGCAGGTGACCCCCTGCACCCAGCCAGGAACACTGCCTGCCATGAGAAGGGCCCCTCCCACTAAGCATGGGAATTCCTGGTCTGTGTTCTTACCATTTCCTGAGGCAGAGGAGGGGCCTCCAACTCAAGACAGGGAATTTCTCCACACGTGTGGCAGCTGCTTTCTGGGCTCTGGGCCCCCAACTCTAAGCCAAGGCCATGGAGAGATGCTTAAACGTAAAGCCCTCATGGCCACCCTGGGCTTTGGGGAAGCAGCTCCACTCCTCACCCCAGGAGTGGAGGCTGCATGGCCCTGGGCAAGTCCCCCTGCTTCCTGACATCACCGTCTTCCTTGTGAAGCAGTACACTTACATGAGACACTGGGTAAGGGGGTGACATCCTCATGACATTACAGTTCACATATCCGTTTTCTCACTTGCCTATACTCATCTCAGCCCCAGCCCCACCTGTGACAGAGGAAAGACAGAGAAAGAGGCTGAGAAGTCACACCGTACCCAGAACAGACCTCGCCACTCTCCCATACCACACCACTGTCTCGTGGTCCTCATTTTTATGGGACATTGAGGAACCCCTTGCACCTGGCTCCCACTGTGTGGCTGGGGACATGGATTGCTTCCTTGAAAATGTTGCTATTGCAGCTGACAGAGTAGGTTCACTGTCCCTGAAGGGAGCCCAGGAGTAGCCTGTCAGAGAAGAGACCTACCCGCTGGCCTCCAAGGTCCTTCGCTGCACTTGGGGAGACGAGGCAGATTAGTGCGTGAGCCCGGGTGTAATTCAGCCAAATCATCGTGGTGGCATTGGGGGTGGGCACCTGTTCGTGGTCACCTTCATGGCTTCAGAGCCTGGGTTCCAGTTCCATGTGCCTGCTGTGAGAGCTCAGGCTGACACAGTCTCTTGGGGGCTCAGTTTCTACATCCTCCTATACCAAGGTGTGGCAGAACAAGGTCAGAGTTACTGAAAACAGGCCATTTGCTTCTTTAGGCAGGGTTACCAGAGGGTTTGGTGGAGGGGTGGTGACCCAAACAACAGTTCTCAAAGTGGGATTCAGAGACCTGGGGGTCCCTAAGGCACTTTCATCATCATCATCATCATCAGTTATTTGCCTTCTCTCTTGTGGAGTTTTCCAGAAGCTGCATGTGGTGATATTGCAACAGATTAAATGTGGAAACTGACACAAGAATCTGGCTGTCTTCTGTCAAGGCAGACATTGGAGATTTGCAAAAATGCAAAACAATGCCACTCTCCTCACAAATCTTTTTCTTTTGAAGCGTAGTATTCTTCATAAAAGTTATTTAGGTTAGCATTTCATGGATTTAGTATTGTAATTCTCTAGTGAATTAACATTTTTAAATTTGCTTAACTTTTAATAAATATGGGCAGACACAACCCACAGAAACAAAGCTTTGAGGAGTCCTCAGTGGTTGTTAAGAATGCAAAGTGGTGCCAATCCCAGAGACTCTGAGAACCACTGATCCGAGGGATGGTTTCTAGAGGGATGGTTCTGGTCTCTGCTTCTCAGCCTGGCCTGATCAATGGTGTTATCAGTGTGTGGAGGAAGATATAGAAAGAATCTTCACATCTGTGAGCGACGAGGTGACCGGGCTGCTCAATAGACCACCTGACAGAGAGGATCCAGAGAGAGGAACAGGCTGAGTCCGGGAGATGAACTGTAGCAGGATCCACTGTGGAGTTCAACCTTTGCGCCTGGCGGTTTGGGTTTAGGGGAGTGAGTGTCACCCAGTGGCTTCACTCTGGACAGTAATTAGGAGTTCCAGTTGTGTGTAGTGACTGCCAGAAATGATGATGTGATTATTCCTCATTAGTAGACATACCAAGTACCCAGGACAGCGTGGTCACTGTGCTGGTGACAAATTCAGCTTTTGTCTATCTATAAACACCTCTGTCTTGTCTTCATTTTTGAAGACGTTTTCAAAATTCTAGGTTGGAGTCTTGCTCTTCACAGGGTCAGCTTAGCCAGTGACTTAAGAGGAGTTACTGGCTAATGTGGGGCTCCTTCCTCTCTTGTTCCAGCCACACTGGCTAACCCAACCTGCACCCTCTGACTTGAGAGCCCAGGAAGCCCGTGACTTTGCTTGGGCTCTGTTTGCTGGTCCTGGTGTACTGGAGAGGCCGTGGGGAAATGCAGGCGAAGGAGGAGATTACTGAATTATTCCTAGCCAACATCCATGCTCGGCCACCTTCCCCTGCAGAGAGCACACACACCCTCCCAAAGAACAGAAGCCCAAAGGAAGTTCCATCTTGGGACTGCACCAGCCTCATGTCTGGTTGTGGTCTTCCTTCCTAAGTACAGGAGGCAACAGTCTGACCTAATCTCTCTACCCATACGGGGTGAATTCTCACCATCTACCACCAACCAACTCCAGTAAATGCATTTTAGGTGATGTTATTTGCAGTAAACATGTAATCTACTTGAGCTAATTTGGGGAGAAAAGGGCTTATTTCTGGATAGCTGCCCAATTCCAGGGTGAGCCAGGGACCTAAGCTTGGATAACACCCAGCCAGGGAAAAGGCCCAGGACTGAGAGGCAACATGGCTGCTGCCCTGCCCAACACTCAGTGTCCTGCCATGCAGCTAGAGACCAGTCAGATATTCTACCCATGGTGGCCCCGGAGAAGCCAGGGACCGCCGCTTCGCCCGAACGCCCATGCACTTGCTGTGTCCGATGCTCCCTCCACTTTCCGAGTCCCAGCTGGGTGGCTCTTCCTGGAGAAAGCTGGGCTGCATGCGGAACCCCGGCTTCAGAGGCGCCTGGAGAAGGAAGGCTTTTGCTTTCCTGCCTCTAGTGTCAGGAGAGCCAGAGAGGGCTCTATGTGGGAGACTGTGCCTCGCGACGCGAGATAGACTGTGACGTCTGTACTTCAGCTTCGGCTATGGTTTGAGGCTCAGTTGAAATGACATTCAAACAATGGAGAATATGACTGGACCTGTAATTCCAGCATGTTGGAAGGCCAAGGCAGAAGGGTGGCTTGAAGTCAGGAGTTTGAGACCAGGCTGGGCAATATAGCAAGACCCCGTCTCTACCCAAAAAACATTTTTTTTTTTAATTAGCCACATATGGTGGTGTGTGCTTGTGGTGCCAGCTACTCAGGAGGCTGAGGTGGGAGGATTCCTTGAGCCCAGGAGGTCAAGGCTGCAGCTAGCTATGACTGTGCCACTGTATTCCAGCCTGCATGACGGAGCAAGACTCTGTCTTTATTTTTTTTTAAATGGAGAATCTACCTTCTCAGGGAGCAGGGATTTATGTATAATTATGATTTCTGCACATCTGTGTCCCACACCTTGTAATCTACCTGATTGCAGGAAATAATGGTTGAATAATGTCAGCATTTAGCACTGTGTCTAGAAATGGTAAGCCCTCAGAAAATCAAAGCTAGTGTCATCTCACAGACAGGAAGCCCCAGCGAGGGCAGAGGCAGCAGCCCAGTGCTTCCTAAGGTCACATGCTCTGTCCCTCTGTACTTGACACCCTCTGGCTCCCTCATACTCACAAGACGGCTGCCACAGCTCCTGGTGTTACATCAAGGCATGATCTCATCTGGAGCACAGCTCAGGAGTGGGGCTCCTCTCCCAAAGGCCCCTTCACATGTCCTTACCCAGGCCTGTTTTCCACACTCATTTCTAAACCATTATTGGCAATGAGAGGAGTCTCCATCATGGCACCAGGAGGGAGCCAGCCTACGTAGCTGCAGAGAGAAGAATAAGCCCCAGGATAATAATCAGGCTCTGATATGGTTGGGATGTTTGTCCCCTTTAGATCTCATATTGAAATGTGATCCCCAGTGTTGGAGGTGGGGCCTGGTGGCAGGTATTGGATCATGGGGGTAGATCTCTCATGAATGGCTCAGTGCATTCCCTTGGGGATGAGTGAGTTCTTGCTCAGTTAGATATGGCTGTTTAAGAGTCTGGGGCCTCCCCCTTGGCTCTCTTGCTCCCTCTCTTGCCACATGATATACTGGATCCCCCTTCACCTTCTGCCATGACTGTAAGCTTCCTGAGGCCTCACCAGAAGCTGAACAGATGCCAGTGCCATGCTTCCTGTAGAGCCTGCAGAACCATGAACCAGTCAAACCTCTATAAATTACCCAGCCTCAGGCATTCCTTTATAGCAACGAGAAACAGGCTAACACAGACTCTTTCAGGAAGAAGGATTAGGAAGGCAGCAATGGGCAGGTGACCAACCATAGTTTGCCCAGGGGCACAGGGGAAGGTCAGAGCCAGGTTTGTAGTGAAGACCCCCATCCAGAGCCCTCCCAAGTCCCAGCTCTCTGCCCTTCAGTCAGATGAAGCTGCTCTAGAGCCAAGGGACAGTTCCCAGGACAAAGGCCAGCTCTGCCTATGTTGGCCAGGAGGCATGGGGGATGGATATGTGCATAGCCCTTCATGGCCTCCCCAGCCAGTCCTCAGCACCCCCTACATACATACACACACACACACACACACCCCACAGACTGCATGATGGAAGGCGACTTCTCCATCTCCCAGAGTCTGCTTAATAGGAAACAGGGTTTAGTGGAACAATTGATGGCAACCCGAGCCCTCAAACTGGAAACATCTGTCCTTGCCGTAGCACAAGCTCTGCAACCCAGCTCCAGCCCAGCTCCTGAAGGGGCCAACCCCGCCTGGCCCAGGGGACTCAAAAATCTTCCCCAAGCCTAGGAGGGGTCTGCAGACTCCCAGCTCTGGACCCCAGCGCCTCATGGGCTCTTAACCTCATGCTGCTCCAACCCCAGGCCACGGAGACTCAGAGCTGATGGTCCCTGGGCTAGACTTTATCTACCCACCCCTACTGGGGGCCAGGGCTGGACATAGAGATGTCTCAGGGGAGGGGTCTAGCCTTAGCCCCCCCAAGACCCTCACTCATTCCCCTACCTCTGCTCCATCTACACCACCCTTTCTGTCCCATCTCCTTGGTCAGTCACTGTCTACCTTCAAGACCAGGCTCAGCAGCTGTCCTTGCAGCCAGCCCAGCTGTCAGATGCCCCTCCCTGGGCCCACAGTGTTTGGGTCCAGACTGACTTCATGAGGTTAGGAAGCCACTCCGGGCAGCGTCATGCCATGCACTTCACACACAAGTCCCACTGCCATGCTGGCATCTGTTAGGCCACCAGGAACCTCTGGACAGGAGAACTCACCAAATACACCTGGGACCAAGGAGCCATGGCACAGGGTTGGGACCACTGCAGGTTCCAGAAGATAGAAGCTGATACCCACACACTTGGCTGCTTTCTAGCCACTACTGCTGGGGTGGAGACCAGGGTGCTCCCCTCAATCCCACTGGAGAGAACCTGGCCTTGGAGCAGCTGTCTGGCTACCCAGGGGCACCTGTGTGCCTGGGCTGTCACTGGACTCTCTGAACCTCAGTTTCCCCATCTGTTCCTGGGATGCCGAGCCTGTAGAAGCAGAACTGTGGAACACAAGGTGACAGAAGTGAAGTACCTGGGAAGCGGGGGATGGAGACATGTCAGGGGCTCAGTGGTGGCAGCTGTCACTGCAGGCTGCCAGGAATGTTGGTCCTAACCTGAATTCACCTGGATGACAACCTCACAAAGAGAATTTCCAGGGAATTTCTCTGAGTGTATGTTGAAAAGATGCAAAGGCCAGGCAGGGGGAGGGGCAGCACCTAAGCCCCAAGAGCTCTGCCCAGAGCCTGGCACGGGGACCTTGTGGCAGGGCTGTTGGTCTTTCGGGTGAGGGTAGAGGGAGTAGAAGAAACTCTGCCTGGAGCTAGAGCCTGGGTCTTAGCCACCTCAGAGGAGGACTCACCTCATTAAGCAGTTTAAATCCTGCCTCCTCTAGGAAGCCATCCTGGATCAGCCCAGCCCCAGTGTCCTTCCTTCCCTGGCTCCCAAAGCTCAACCACAGTCCTGCCATTCCCATTCCCTTCCAAGGGCACAGAACAAACAAAACACTGGCCTTTCCTGTTCCCCAGTCTCCAGTCTGCATCATGGGGATGACATTCTTCCCTACAGACCTCAGATGGCCATGGAGGCCAGAGGGGAGATTGGCCTGCCCTGAGGCTAGGAGGAGGCTGCTGCTTGGCAGGGGGCTGTTGGCTGAGGGACGTAGGGGCTGAAGGATCTGTTGTCACGGGGAGAGGCTAGGGCCAGGGTGTGGGGAGAGGGGACACGCGGGAAGGTGAGTCCTGCTCAGGGACAGCCCCTCCAGCTGCTGGCTGCACTCACCCAGTACACCCCCACCAGGATGGAGCTGGCAGAGCAGGGGGTATCCAGGGCAGAGAAACATCTCCAAACCAGCCACCCCAACCCCACAGAGAGCAGGAGGCCCCAACCCAGCCTCCTCCTCAGCTTAGAGACTAGGAAACCAGATGTTGTGAGGCGGCCATTCCAAAATGCACAGATCTTCAAAGCGGGGCTATTTTCCATGTCCTTTGGGCAATTTTAGAACAAGTTTATAAAGCTGGAATGTTAATGGATGACAGTCGCGCTGTGCTCATGCGTGCATCTGTGTCTGGGCACCTTTGGTGGCTGTTGCTGCTGCAGCCTCTTGGGAGGTGGGGCAGGGGGTGCATTTCTTAAAGGACCTCCAGGTTTCCTGTTAGGTTTGCTGCATGTTACAAAGGACTGAACCTTTAGGAATCGAGGGAGGGGCTTCATGGCCAGCTGTCAAGGGGGTGTGGACAGCCCTGAGGACCCCCTGTCTGGGGTGGGGGTGGAAGGCACAGTCTGGTCTGAAACCACCCTTCACATGCCCCTTATCCCAGCTCCATGTGGGATCCAGGTGTATTCACGGGCTGAGGTCGCCACGACAAAGTGCTGCAGACCGGGCGACTGAAACAACAGATGTGAATTTTCTGGCTGTTCTGGAGGCTGGACCTCCAAGATCAGGGTGTGAACCAAGCTGGCTGCCCCTGATGCCTCTTGCCTGGGCGTGCAGACAGCCACCTTCCCGCCGAGGCCTCGTGTGGTCACCCCTGGCCTGTGTCTTGTCTGGGCCCTAATCTCCTCTTCTTTAAAGGACATCTATCGTGTTGGGTCAGGACCCACCGACCTGGCCTCACTTTAACTTCATTACCTCTCTCTAAAACCCATCTCCGCTGGGCGCGGTGGCTCGTGCCTATACTCTCAGCACTTTGGGAGGCCAAGGCACGTGGATCACGAGGTCAAAAATACAAAAATTAGCTGGGCGTGGTGGTGCGCGCCTGTAGTCCTAGCTACTTGGGAGGCTGAGGCAGGAGAATCGCTTGAACTCAGGAGGTGGAGGTTGCAGTGAGCCAAGATGGTGCCATTGCACTCCAGCCTGGTGACAAAGCAAGACTCTGTCTCAAAAAAAAAAAAAAAAAAAAGTCTCCAGGCCAGGCACAGTGGCTCATGCCTGTAACCCCATTGCTTTAGGAGGCTGAGGCCAGGAGTTTGAGACCAGCCTGAGCAACATGGTGAAACCCCATCTCTACAAAAATTAGCCAGGTGTGGTGGCACACACCCAGCATCCCAGCTACCAAGGAGGCTGAGGCAGGAGGATCTTCTGAACCTAAGAGGTAGAGGCTGAGGAGAGCTGTGATCATGCCCCTGCACTCCAGCCTGGGTGACAGAGCGAGACCCTGTCTCAAAAGAACAAAAATAAAACAAATCCGTCTCCAGCTCAGTCCCATTCTGAGATGCTGGGGGGTTAGGACTTCAACGGAAGAATATGGGGGGACATAATTCGGCCACAACACTGGATGCCTCCCATTCCTTCAGTCGGACCCCCAATGCTTCGGGGTTTAACCACGTTTCCTTGCTTTCCTCTTCTGTCAGGGGCCCTCCCCACTCCCCACCCCCTGCCCAACATACGCCCATCCACAGACAGGGTGGGGGGTCGAGAGCAGCTCCGGCTTCTCCTCCCTATCCCCGCCAGCCAGAGCTATCTGCTCACCCAGCAGAGCCACCCACCCCAAAGCAGAAACTCAGGTTCCACTGCTCCCAGGCAGCTCTCTCCCCGTGAACTCTGATTCTGCTTCCTCCTTGGCATGAAGAACCCGGGGTCTCCACCAGCCCTCCTGCCTGGGCCTGATTTACATAGTGCCTCCCTGGACCATCTCTCTGCGGCACCCCAGAGGCAGCTCAGTAGACCAGGTGACGAGGAAGGGGCTGCTGGAGGTCTGGGAGAAGAGGCAGGGCCAGGGGGCTTCAGGCTGCCGAGGAGACGTAGGACATGGTCTTCCCCGGAGACATGGGTTTGGGGTTGAATGCGTGGGAGATAAGCATAAGCTAAGGTGGAGACCCTAGGGGACACCCACATTCAGGGGTGCTAGACAGAAGGAGGCTCCTTGGGGGAATCTAAGGCCCAGGCATGGAGGAGGAGGAGGGAGCCAGTGGGAGGAGGGGTCATAGAAGCCAAGGGCCAGGGCCACACCAAGAAGGCTGGAATGGGGCCGAGAGGTGAAGAAAGGTCACGCAGAAATGAGCACAATGAATTTAGCCACCCGGAGGTGCCAGGCTTCGTGGTGACAGGAGTCTCTGTGCCGGGTGGGCAGGAAGCAGGTGGCAGCTGTTTGTTTATCAGTTACTACATGACAAACAATGCCAGAACTCAGCCGATTCAAACAACTGATTTCTTATGCACCCAGATTCTGTGGTCAGGAGACTGGACAAGGCGCAGAAGGGGCAGCTAGCCCTGTCCATGATGTCCAGGGCTTACTGTCAGGTCTCCAAATCTGGTGCCGAAATGACCTGGACCAGACTGTCTTCCCTCATGTCTGGGGGGTGACACTGGCTGTGGTCTGGGGCCTCCACCCGGGCTGTCGGCTGGAACCTGGCCTAGGGCCTGGGCTTCCTCCCACCTGGGACCTCACAGTAGGGACTTGGACACGGTGGCTCAGGGCACCAAGCGAGCGTCCAGCACACCCAGTCAGGGATCCATTACATTCATTCCAAAGCCAGAAGAGGAAAGGCAGCGTCACACAGGGGCTGAAGAACTAGGACCCGGAGACAGACCGCCTGGGTGCCAATCACACTCCAGCGTGTACTGGCTGTGGGACCTCTCAGGGCCTCCATTTCCTTATCTATAAAGTGAACATAATAACTGATGTCCATACGAAGTTGTCGTGAAGATTAAACCTGTGCTGCAAGGTGACGCCCTCAGAGCAGAGCCTGACGCAGCCTTGGTCTCCCAGCTGTGTGTGGCAATAAGTAGCATCCTAAGCCGAGTTCTTTTTTTTTTTCCTTTTTGGAGATGGAGTCTTGCTCTGTCACCCAGGCTGGAGTGCAATGGCACGATCTTGGCTCACTGCAAACTCTGCCTCCCAGGTTCAAGCAATTCTCCTGCCTCAGCCTCCTGAGTAGCTGGGATTAGAGGTACCCACCACCAAACCCAGTTAATCTTTGTATTTTTAGTAGAAACGGGGTTTCACCATATTGGCTAGGCTGGTCTTAAACTCCTGACCTCATGATCTGCCTGCCTTGACCTCCAAAAGTGCTGGGATTACAGGCGCGAGCCACACCATGCCTGGCCCCTGAGGGGCATTATTAAAAGGCAAGGTGTGGGCATGCCTGTGGGAGGGGAGGCAGGAGCCCAGGAAGGGGTAGCCTGCAGCCTCAGGGGGTGGCTGGCAAGGCCTTCCAGGGGCCACGGCAGCCTCCATGTGCAAGGTCACATTTCAGCTGTGTCTCAAAGTCCGGATGGGGGAGGTCCAGCCTGGGGACGTTGTGAGCCGGGGCTTGGCCAGCCCCAAATCGAGGCGGGTTCAGAGAATGGAAAGCAGCTGTGGCCTGGAGCTAAGGCCAGGGCCAGTGGAGAGCAGTGGCCCCAGCCGTGGCCTGGGGGTCCTAGTTAGGGCTGTGATGATGATTTTGACATTTGAGAACATGTGGCAGGCCCAGGAAAGTGGTTTCAGTTCAGGTCTTCCGTTCCAAACCCACACCCCTACGCCACAGTCTCTCCTTGACTTCGCTGTTGCCATCCTTAAACAGGGCAGAGGACGCAGGAGCCCATTAGGCCATGATTTTGATGCGAAATCACTCCCAAGAGGCTGTGTGAGCCCAGTGCTTTGGGAGACCATGACGGGAGGATCATCTGAGGCCAGGAGTTCAAGACCAACCTAAGCAACATAGGGAGATCTTGCCACCAAAAAACATTTTAAAATCTAGCTGGGTGTGGTGGCACACACCTGTAGTTCCAGGAGCTGAGGCGGGAGGATTGCTTGAGCCCAGGATGTGGAGGCTACAGTAGGCTAGGATCATGCCACTGCACTCCAGCCTGGGTGACACAGCAAGACCCACCTCTTTAAAAAAAGAAAAAGAGACTGTTGGACCAAGTATGCGTGTGTGTGCATGTGTGTGTGTGTGTGTGTGTGTGCGCGCACGTGGGGGGGTGTAATAATCAGGGCCATCACACTGCTGGTCCAGCCAGCATGTCAAGTCTGTGTGTGGGGCGCCCTCTGCAGTTAAGCAGTGCACAGCCCATGCAACAGTACCTGGCAGCCCTGAGTGTGGACTGTGGACTCTGGTCTGCTAGGTAACCTCCCTGAGGCCAGGCCCAGGACCCGCCTCCCAGCCCCTCATGCCCTGCCTTCAGGAGCTGCAAACCTGGGCTCACCACTCTACAGGCTAGGACAGAGCCAGGTGGGAGCTTGTGGCCAAAGTCCTCCCACAGGACCCTAATGGCTTCCCCTCTTTCCACCTGGTGAGGCTGCTCCCTGGGCCAAGTAGAGGAGGCAGCGCCCTCCAGTCCTGGCGTGCACCTCCTGAGATGCCCAGGACGGCAAGGTGCAGGGCGGCGTGATCTTGGCTCTGAGACTGGCTAGGCCCCTCCTCTCTTACCTGAGTCATGGAATTCTCGAGAAGCGGGCAGGGCTGTGGCATGGAGCCAGGAGAGGCGAGGTCATGGGTTATGTCCAGCACAGGCCCTGCCATAAGGCAGGGAAGGGTGTGTCCCCTCCATGGGGCGTGGTGGCTGAGCCCAGGTTTCCCGGAGCTCCTGGCTTTAACCTGAGCCGGAGCAGCCCTCCTGAGGCCCGGAGCTTCTTCATGGGTGCTGCACCTCCGTCCGGGGCTTCATATACCTCCACCTTTCTTGCCCAGCACTGGACAACAGGGAAGCCCTGTGAGGGGAGAGGGGGTGAGTGAGGGTACATGGGGGCTGTGTGCTGCAGGTGGAGGTGGGGCACACATGAGCAGTGCACTTCGCCTGGAGAGGCAGGGATAGGATGTCCTAGTGAAGGCTAGAGGGGCAACCAGGGCCTGACTGTGGCAGTGGGGCTCCAGTGTGGTGACCAGACCCGCCCCGGAGGGGTCTGAGCTGAGGCGTGTCTTGGCAAAGGTCATGGTGTAGCTGGGACAACTGTGTGGGAGGGGAGCAGAGGCCAGGGTGAGAGGGCCTCAGGCAATTGCAGCCTCGCCCTGAGGACTACACAGGCTCCCATGCGGGGTCTGGGCTCCCACGCGGGGTCCGGGACCCACTCTGCACACACCTCACCATGTCTCATGCCCTATTAGCCACTCTCCCACCAGCCCCGAAACAGAAGGGAAACTGAGGCCTTAGGAGGTAGCTCTGGGCCCCTGGGTCACACAGGGACTGCGGGACTTGGACCCAGCTTCCCCAACTCCAGAGCCAGCACCTCTTTCCCCTTGCCTGCCACCCGGCGGCCTCTGTGCGTCCTGGTTTCACTCCAGTTGATGGCCTCAGGCTGGGTGCCTGGGAGGGCGTCGTCAGTGTAGGGGGGTGGTGCGTTTCCGGAGCAAGGGGAGATGAGGCTGTTTTCAGGCATGCTGAGTCTGTGGCGGGGATGACACATCCCTGTGGACATGCAGAAACTACCTGAGATGTAGGTCTGGACTTGGGAGAGGCTATGACTGGGGCTTCCAATGTCAGCTCCCCAGAAGCAGGAAAGACAACTCCAAGCCACCTGAGCCTTCAGGACATTCAGAGAGGGGAGTGCTGGGATGGGGGATGGGGGAGGTTCTGTGGGGATTTGGGGAGCAGAGGTGCCGGGATGGGGGATGGGGGAGGTTCTGCGGGGATTTGGGGAGCAGAGATGCCGGGATGGGGGATGGGGGAGGTTCTACGGGGATTTGGGGAGCAGAGGTGCCGGGATGGGGGATGGGGGAGGTGCCGGGATAGAGGTAGGGTTGTGGGTTGCCAGACTTTCACCCCAAACCACAGCAAGCCACCACCCCGGAGCCTGGTTTGGGGTCTGGGACGGTCTACAGCAGGGGTGAGGGTGGAAGAGGCAGGGGGCACAGGGTGAGTGGCCAAGGGCAGCCTCCTTGGACTGAGGGGAAGGTGGGGTGCAGGCATCTGCACATCTGCCCAAGACCCCTGTCCCTAGGGCTGGCCACCATTCCTCCCACCCCAGAGCTGCAGGGGGGTGTGGTGGCAGGAAGCTGGGGCGATGGTGACAGCGAGACCACCTCTCCCTGCCTGATACCCTGCTCCTGTGTGAGGCACAGTCATGGTCGTCACCCCAGTGCTGCCTAGGGACCAGCTCTTCACGCTCAGCAGTTACAGCAGGAGCCAGGGCTGGGAAACAGTGGGTGGGTGTCTTGGGAGATACTGGAGCATCTTTCTTCATGCAGCCCCAGACTCACAGGGATCTGCACATGTGTGTACACACATACACACCACACATCACACACATACACCACACATCACACATACACACACACCACACATATACACCACACATCACACATACACACCACATACACGTCACACATACACGTCACACACACAAACCACACATCACACACATACCACACATCACACACACATCACACACACCACATATCACACATGCACCGCACATTACACACACATACCACACACAACCACACATCACACACACAGTGCACATCACACACGCACCACACATCACACACACGCACCGCACATCACACACACCACACATCACACATACACACACACAACACATACACACCACACATCACACACACACACCACACATACATACCACACCACACATACACACACACAACACATACACACCACTCATCACACACACACACCACACATACACACCACACCACACATACACCACACATCACACACACACCACACACACCACACATACACACCACACATCACACACACACACCACACATTACACATACACACCACACATCACACATACACACATCACACATACACACACACCACACATCATACACGCACTCATTCACACATACACACCACATATCACACACACACACCACACATCACACATACACATCACACATACACACACACCACACATACACACCACACATCACACATACACACCACATACACGTCACATATACACGTCACACACACAAACCACACATCACACACATACCACACATCACACACACATCACACACACCACATATCACACATGCACCGCACATTACACATACATACCACACACAACCACACATCACACACACAGTGCACATCACACACGCACCACACATCACACACACGCACCGCACATCACACACACCACACATCACACACACATCACACATACACACACACAACACATACACACCACACATCACACACACACACCACACATACACACCACACCACACATACACCACACATCACACACACACACCACACATACACACCACACACACCACACATACACACCACACATCACACACACACACCACACATTACACATACACACCACACATCACACATACACACATCACACATACACACACACCACACATCATACACACACTCATTCACACATACCACACCCACACATTCACTCACATACCATACAGCACACACACCACACATCACACACTTATTCACTCACATTCACACTTGTATATACATCACACACACTAATTCACACACCACACACACTCCTTCACTCACACACACCATGCATCACACAAGCTCATTCACTCACATTCACACTGGTACACACCACACACACGCTTACTCACATTCACACTTGTACATATCACACAGGCTCATTCACTCACACACAACACCATGCACATCACACACTCATTCACTCTCACACGCGCACACATACACAGACACACCTGCAGGCAAGATAGGGCTCACGTCATGGGACGGGGGACTCCAGGTGGAAGGGGATCCCTGGCTGGGTGTCCTTGAGGCAAGGTTGCACTCCACAACTGTGGCCAGCAGCCAGAGAGGGCAAAGGCTGCCAAAGGTCATCCAGCCTGTGGGGCGAACCAGGGCTGAATGGCAGAGCTGTGTCCCCCACACCCCCGGGCTCCCAGCTCACTTCCCTGCAGTTCTCCAGCCTCTGCTTCCCTTCAGGAAGGTGCTGCCAGGCCTGGGATGCTGGTGCCCCAGAGCCCAGGCCTGGAGGGGCCCCTTGAAGGTGTGCCCAATGCCTGGGGCGTGACTGTGTGCTCTGGGTGGGGACTGTGTGCTCTAGTCCCTTGGTGGGCAGGAGCTCAGGGGTGCATGATGCCCGTCCCCTCCTGCAAAGGCCCAGACCCAGGCCTCTTAGGGGTCAGGAGCTCAGCTCAGCTGCTTCTGCAGGCCCGCCCGTCCCTTCCCTCTCCGGCATCTTCTGGGGTTCATGCTGCTACTCAGACTCCCCAGAGTGGGGGCAAAGCCTCTGCCTTGGTTTCCCCAAGAGTGCCTGGCCAGGTGGAGCAGGTCTGCAGTGGGGGCATCCCCTGGGAGGGCAGCATTGTGACCCCTGGGGGTGGGAGTTGGGGTGGTGCAAGAGGGGGCCATGGAGTCAGGGTGGACCCTGCACCCAAATCCGCCTTAGAAAGGAGCGGCCTAACTGGGCCTTTTTGACAGCCTTGATTTCCATGCATTTGGTGGAGGGAGTGGGGTGAGGGGGCTTCCTGCTTCTTGAGACCCTCTGTCCCCAGGGTGGCATCTGTGGGTGGACCCTCTCCCTCCTGGGCCTCAGTTTCCTCCTCCTGCAAGTTGGCACCAGCCTGGGACCGTCCCCATGAGCACTGAGGTCATGGCTGGGAGGCCTGGAGGCTCCCCCAGAAGGACGTGCCATAAATACCTGCTTGGCCTCATTATCCTCATTAGAGCCGGGAGCCCAGGCGTGCAGGCCAGTGAGTCACCTTAAAAGAATGCCCCCCAGCCCTGGAGGTGGGAGAATGGGCTTCCAGCACTGGATAGGGCTCCCCTAGTCCCCCAGCCTTGACCCTGAGGTCTCTCCTGCTTCTCCAGCCACCTCGCTCATCCTTTATCCCTCTCCTCCCCCGACACACACACACACACACACACACACACACACACACCCCACACACACCCCTCACCTCTGCCTATAAACCCAGGGGAGGAGCACCCACTGTGTGCTACAGCCAGCTGTGACAATGCTGCCCACGGGTGCTGAGGAGTCAGCAGTGACCTAGGGGAAGACAGGGCTCTCCGGCTGCAGGTGTTCCTGAGGAGGAACTAGGAGAGAAGAGGAGAAGGCATGGGCAGAGGGAAGAAGGGGTGCTGTGCCTGGAGGGGGTGCCTAGAGGTGGGTAGGGTGGGAGAGCTGGCTGGGAGAGCAACAGGGGGACAGCCCTTTCTCTGGTCCCCCACGGCTCCCTGTCTGGGCAGAGGCAGGCCCAGCCCATCAGCACTTCTGAGCTGTGACAGGAGACCCACAGCAACCCCCCAGCTGGGCCCTGCCAGTCCCTTTTCCCTCTGAGGGCCCCTGCATAACCGAGGACTGTGAGCTGACAGCTTTCCCTCCCTCCATTGTTGGCTCCCCTCACTCTCCTCAGTCTTTCCCCACCCCCACCTCCACCCCTGGAGGCTGTGTCCACTCACAGGCCAGGGGACTGGGCCCTGCCCCAGCCCCAAGAGCCTCAGGGCTGTGATGATTTTTTATTTTTTGAGATGGAATCTCGCTCTTTGCCAGGCTGGAGTACAGTGGTGCAATCTCAGCTCACTGCAACCTTCGCCTCCCAGGCTCAAGCAATTCTCCTGCCTCAGCCTCCTGAGTAGCTGGGATTACAGGTGCAGGCCACCATGCCTGGCTAATTTTTGTATTTTTAGTCTCACCATGTTGGCCAGGGTGGTCTTGATCTCTTGACCTCATGATCTGCCCACCTCGGCCTCCCAGAATGCTGGGATAACAGGCATGAGGCACCGTGCCCGGCCCAGTTTACTATTTTTATTTTTGGCGGGGAGGGGATACATTCATGGAGGTAGAGCTCTCCCATCGCAACTTGAGTGTGAATCAGAAGAACAGACTGGTCACCTCTGGGGAGCAGGTAAGGGGTGTGGGAAGTAGCACTGAGGGCCCCCTGCAGGGATCAGAAAAGCCTGAGCAGTGGAGGGGCCATGTGCTCTCCTGCCATCTCTTAAATATTCCTATGACATTATGATAGCTTCAAATCTTTCGTGATAGGAACACTCAACAAACTAGGAACAGACAGGAACTTCCTCAATCCCATAAAGGATTTCTATGAAAAGCCATCACTAAGGTACTCAGTGGTGCAAGACTGGATGCTTCTCCCCTAAGAGCAGGACCGAGGCAGGGTGTCCCCATCGCAGTTTGTACTCAGCTCTGCCCTGGAGGTTCCAGCCAGGGTGATCAGGCAAGAAAAGAAGTAAAGGCCTCCAGACTAAAAAGGAAGAAGTAAAGCGACCTCTGCAGATGACAAGATATTATGTATACAAAATCCTAAAGAATCATTAGGAGATGATTAGGACTAATAAGTTCAGCAAATTTGCAGGATATAAAATCAATATACAAAAATTGACTTTATTTCTATAGCCTAGAAAAGAGGAATCTGAAATTAAATTTAAGAACAATTCTATTTACAATAGCATAAAAAAAATAACTTTAACAAAAGAAACGTAGCATTTTGAGAGCACAAGGTAGGCAGATCACCTGAGCCCAGGAGTTCAAGACTGGCCTGTGCAACATGGTGAGACCCAGTATCTACAAAAACAAAAAACAGCGAGGCTGTGGTCACAGCTACTCGGGAAGCTGAGGTGGGAGATCACCTGAACATGGGAGGTCAAGGCTGCAGGGAGCCATAATCTCACCACTGCACTTCAGGCTGGGTGATGAGAGTGAGACCCTCTTTCAAAAAAAAAAAAAAAAGATCTTTTTATACTCTAAAAACTATAAAATCTTGTTGAAGGAAATTTTTAAAAATTACAACAAATAGAGCCGGGCACAGTGGCTCACGCCTATAATCCCAGCACTTTGGGAGGCCGAGGCCGGTGGCTCACGAGGTCAAGAGATTGAGACCATGCTGGTCAACAAGGTGAAACCCTGTCTCTACTAAAAATACAAAAATTAGCTGGGCATGGTGGTGCGTGCCTGTTGTCCCAGCTACACGGGAGGCTGAGGCAGGAGAATTGCTTGAACCCAGGAGGAGGAGGTTGCGGCGAGCGGAGATTGTGCCATTGCACTCCAGCCTGGGTAACAAGAGCAAAACTCTGTCTCAAAAAAAAAAAAAAATTTTACAACAAATAGAAAGACATCCCATGTTCATGAACTGGTATTGTTAAGATGGCAATACTCCCCAAATCTAGAGATCCAACACAATTTCCCTTTCTTAAGGCTCTGAAATGTTTATTTCTGTGAAGCAGAGATGGGGCCCTTATTTGGGAGAGTTGAGGGTCTCACCTTTATCATCCCCTCAGGACTGTCCACAGCTAACACCATAGGGCTGTTCAGCTTAGGGCAGGAAGTTAGCTGTAGAAGGAAAACCTGGATGCTGGGGCCAGACAGGCCTGGTATGAATTCCAGAAATATGTGATCTTGAGTATATTGCTTAACCTCTCTGAGCCTCTTTTTCACAACTATAAGATGGGAATTGACATCACCTGTCTCACAGGGCAGTGAAAGATACAGAATGTTTGAGAAGCAGCTCTCAGGTGGTCCAGCCTACTCAGGGCATCCACCTAAAGTTGGCTCCTGCCTGCACCTTCTCTCACCCCAGCACCGCCAGTGCTCCTGGGTCAGATGGAGGCACTCACCTCAGGATAGGCCCAGGCGATGGCACTCATGGATGTTGCCCAGTGGCCCAACCTCCTGCCGCAGAGCTGGGACTCACTGGAGGCTCCCAGAGCCCTCGGGATCCTTCATCATCATTGTAAGCTCGAGGTTCTCCAACCCCCAGCTTCAAGGCTCCACTAAGAGATGGTTTGTGGGTGAGTGGAAGACACAGCCGCGGCTTCTGGGAGGCTTGTGGCAGGACCTCAGCCGTGTGGCTAGACCTGAGGCCGGGCTGCACGAGTTTCCCCGCAGGAAAGCTGGGCCCCTGGGAGCCGAGAGCAAAGAATGTGCATAACGAGGAACATCTGTGGAGCGTCCCGGGCACAAGAATGAGCCTGTATCAACTCACCAGATGCTGATAACTGCGTGATGAGGGAAGAGGTCTCTTCTCTGGTGGGTTTGCAGGGGTGGGAAGTGCTATCTCTCATCCCAGGTTTACAGAGAAGGAAGCTGAAGGTGGCACGGGCAGAACGTGGCTGCGCTGGGGCTAAAGCCGGGCTCCCTGGCTCTGGGGCTCGTCACTGCTGCTCTTAGCTCCTTGGTCAGGAGTGTGAGGCAGCGGCCTTGGAAATGGCCACAGCTACTGTGAACTGGGTGAGGAAAGGTGTCACGTGGGCTAACGTGGCCCTGACTGGAGAGACAGAGTTGGATTCCAGGTTTTGTTTGTTGGTTGGTTGGTTTGTTTTTTGAGACCGAGTCTTGATCTGTCGCCCAGGCTGGAGGGCAGTGGCATGATCTCGCTCACTGAAACCTCCGCCTCCCAGGTTCAAGCAATTCTCCTGCCTCAGACTCCTGAGTAGCTGGGATTACAGGCGCACCACCACGATGGGCTAATGAATTCCCAGTTTTGTCATACACCAACTCTGTGACCTTGGGCAAAATCACACCCTCTGCAAGCCTCAGTTTGCTCACCTATAAAACAGAGCTCTAATCCCCTTATCCTAGTGGATGGAAGAATTAGGGATAATACGTCGAAAGGGGCTGCAGGCCCCATGAATGGCAGAGGCTTTTATTAGCCTTTTAGAACGTAGGCATGCAGTATGAGGAATAAATCTGGAGGAGCGAGTCACTGGGCAGAGGGTCCTAAATGCATTTGGATTGGGCTGTGATGGAGAAGTTTGAGCTTCTGGGAAAGGAAGAAGCATGCCAGGTGCCAGGGATAGAAGTGGCCAAAGAAGGGAGGTGGGAAGGCACAAGAAGGAAAGCCAGTCCCTCTCCAAGCATTACAACACTCAGCCTTCCCGGGAGCTCACTTCAGACAGGAGACACTGGAGCCTCAAGCACTGAACAACCTTCCCTGAGGCTGTGTAGTGGGAGGGTGGAGTAATTCCCCTCTGTGGACTGCTAGCCTAGGGCCTCCCCATCCTGCCTCCCTGTGGGGTGAAGTGCGGGCTGCAGGCTGTGGGCTGGGCACCTGGAGGAGAGTGGGGGCACACAGGGAATGGATGGCCTGGATCAGGCACCCAATAACCCAGCCTTGAAAACTCCAGGAAATTGACCCAGGGTGAAAAAGAGAGAGGCGCAGAGCAAAGCCAAACCATACTGGAAAAAACTGTGAAGGCAGCAGGAAGTGACTGGCATCGAGTCAGGACAGTAGCTACTTTTAGGGGAAAGGAAGAGAAGAAGCTTGGGACTACTGGGAAGGGGCCCCCCGGGACGAGGATGGCTTCTGGGGTGCTGGAAACGTTCCCATGATCTATGTGGCTGCAGGCATTTCCTTCTGCATCATTTATTCCACTGCACATTTTTCTGGAATGCCTATTTCATGATAAGAAAAGTTTTCAAAAAGAAAAAACAAAATAGGACCAACAATAATAGGACCAACAAAGGGAGCACAGCCACAGGTAAGAGTGAGACTTTCACATTGCGAGGAAGTATTGTATATAGGCCGGGAGCCATGGCTCACACCTGTAATCCAAGCACTTTGGGAGGCTGAGGCAGGCGGATCATCTGAGGTCAGCAGTTCGAGGCCAAAACCTGCCTAACATGGTGAAATCCTCGCTACCAAAAATACAAAATTAACCGGGCATGGTGGTGGCATGCCTATATCCCAGCTACTCAGGAGGCTGAGGCAGGAAAATTGCTCGAACCCGGGAGGCAGAGGTTGCAGTGAGCCGAGGTCACGCCACTGCACCACTCCAGCCTGGGTGACAAAGCCAAACCCTGTCTCAAAAAAAAGTAAAGAATTTCTGTGCCGTAATGCTTGAAAGTGGGGCTGCTGTGGATGCGTTTTTGGAAACACAGGAGAAAATGATTTGAGAAGTGGTAGAAGGGGTCTGATCAGCTCCAGCACAGACCCCAGGCCTGGGATGGGGTCCAGGTGGCCAGCACACACAGCTGGCTTCTGGATGGCGCTGGGTTTTGTACGTAGCTTACGGTGCTTTTACAATCAAGAACAACCCAGATGCTTAACAAAAAGCAGCGGTGCTCATGGCTGCTGAGCAGGGCTGGCCAGGCAGTGGGAGGCTGTGCTCCTGAAGCCGCCCCACCATTGGCTCATTTTCCAGAGGCATCCTCCAGAGGCTGAGTGAGAAGGCTGGCGTCTCCCCTGGACTTGTGATGCAATCGGCCAGTCTGCCCGCTGGAGCCAGAGCCCCCCTTCTTCCGGAAAAGTCTATCAGCATATCTCTGCTATCTGGGTGCCTTGGAGGCAGCGCTGCAGAGAGGCCCTGCTGGCTGGGTCTGCCCTCGCCTGTCCCCTGGAGGCCAGCAGGATAGCATCTGGGAGGGCCAAATCCCCACCCACAGTTCCCGCTCACTTCCTGTCCTGGGGAAACCCCTCTGCCGGGAGGTTTGAGGCCTGGATCAGGCTAGTGGGCCAGGGATTGTAGCTGCAGCCCTGGCAGAGGCTCAAAGGCTTGGGTCCACCTGGACCGGGACCCCTGCCCGGCATTATACCCCTCCTGGTTAAGCCCCTTCTGGCTTGGCTCTTATACCAACAAGGTCTGAGGGTCAGACCTTCTTCCATCATGTTTACCCTGGGGGTTAGGGAGGTGAGGATCACCCAGAAAGCAGAAGGAAATCCTTTGCCTACCTGGAAGTGGACAGGGGAGAAAAAGACATCATTTAAAAAGTCCAGGCTGGGCGCGGTGGTGGCTCACGCCTATTATCCCAGCACTTTGGGAGGCCGAGGTGGGAGGATCATGAGGTCAAAAGTTTGAGACCAGCCTTGCCAATATGATGAATCCCCATCTCTACTGAAATACAAAAATTAGCTGGGTGTGGTGGCACATGCTTGCAGTCTCAGCTATTTGGGAGGCTGAGGCAGGAGAATTGCTTGAACCAGGAGGCAGAGGTTGCAGTGAACTGAGATCACGCCACTGCACTCCAGCATGGTCAACAGAGCAAGGCTCTGTCAAAAAACAAACAAACAAAAAAAGATGAGCTCAAGTTTGCAGAAACAAAACAGATCAAAGGTAGGTAATAATAGAGAATAAAGCCAGAGAGAGCGAGGGAGAGAGAGACTATCAAATCCAGAGAGTGGAACTTCGAGGAGGTGGCTGGAGATGGGGTAGATAATTCATTTTTTTTCCAAGTATTTTGTGAATATTTATTGAGAAACTAGTATGAACAAATGCTATTCTAAGTGCTGGAAATGGGGCGCCTTTTTTTTTTTTTTTTTTTTGAGACAGGGTCTTGTTCCATCACCCAGGCTGGAATGCAGTGGCCTCAATCTCCCTGCTCCAGCCATCTCCCCACCTCAGCCTCCGGAGTAGCTGGAACCAAAGCCTGGCTAAGTTTTAACATTTTTGATAGAGATGAAGTATTGCCATGCTGCTCAGCCTGGCCTCAAACTCGGGCTCAAGGAATCCTCCTGCCTCAGCCTCTCAAAGTGCTGGGATTACAGGCCTGAGCCACTGCGCCTGGCCAACATTCACTTCTTCCTTTAGATCCTTTGTGTTGTTTTAATATTTTTTCAGCAAACATGTAAAGAAAAGTTAGAAAATAAAAGGGATGATCTTGAGAGATCCAGCCAAAGCCCTGGGCTGAAGGAGGCTGTCGGTGTCGGGGTGAGAGTGGGACCGGGCTGTACTCTGGGTTCTGCGCAGATTGCCGCATCCCTGAGCCCTTCAAACTTTTTGGCTGCCTTTGGCCTCTTTGGCAGGACAGCTTCCTTCAGAACCCCCTACCCACCCAGGGCTTGGTGGGAAGCCACTGCCTGTGTTCCGCTGTGGCCTCTTCTAGGCTGGTCTTTTTGAAGTAGCGAGACCACTTCCTCCCCAGGCTGGAAGAATGAAGCCTCTGCGACGGCCCCCTCCATTCTTCTTTCCCCTTGAGGCCTGAGCCTCCTGCTAAAACCCACCACTGTGGCAGGCCTAGGCCTCAGCTCTGGGGCCCCTCCCCTCTCTGCCAGGCAAAGCCCACTCGCCCTGAAACTGCCTGGCTACCCTCTGGCCTTGGCCCCACCTGGCCCACCATTTTGTTATGGTCTCAGAAGGCTGGAAACTAGCCTCACTTACAAGGAAAGGGATGTGTAGCTGGGCGTGGCAGCTCACACCTGTAATCCCAGCACTTTGGGAGGCTGAGGTGGGCGGATCAACTGAGGTCGGGAGTTCGAGACCAACCTGGCCAACATGGAGAAACCCTGCCTCTACTACAAACACAAAAGTTAGCCGGGTGTCGTGGTGCATGCCTGTAATCCCAGCTACTCGGGAGGCTGAGGCAGGAAAATCGCTTGAGCCTGGAAGGCAGAGGTTGCGGCGAGCTGAGATTGTGCCATTGCACTAGAGACTGGGCAACAAGAGAGAAACTCTGTCTTCCAAAAAAAAAAAAGAAAGAAAGGGGTGTGTGTGTGTGTGTGTGTGTCTTTGTGTGTCTGTGTGGGTTTAAGGGGTGGTAATCTCAGAGGTTCCTGGGTCCTCTGCAATCTCAACCAGGGCCCCAAAGTCAACAGTTGATGGGTGGGTGGTTCTCTCCCTCAATGGGCAGAGAGTCCCGCTGCAGGGGACCCAG